TAGAGTGAGCTGTGTGAGTGAGCACACGATCTTCCTACATAGTTCTGTCAACATATGCGATAGAAAATGGATGGCAACAAGTCTCACACGAAATACATAAATAACATTTGAATTGTCCCTTAGTGAGTTTTGGAAATTAGTAAACACAAATTAACTTAAAGAATAGTATAAACACAAAGGTACTTGTGTTGCATTTGTCTCTGTAAAATGTATTCACTTTGATATATTGCATTCTCTGATGACTAATTGTTGTTCTCCTGTGCAAAACCTAAAATAGAGAAAGCTATTTGAGTCCTTCCAAAAGCATTATCTGGAACCATAAATTCTAACATCCGAGAATTAATGTGAATCTCACAAATACCTTTCAGAAATATTTCAATAACGAAATATTCAGCTCTTAGCTTGTCCATCATGTGAATGGAACATAATTTCTGAAAAGTAGTTTTCAGGATTAGGCTGGGAGGCATTTTTTGGCCACAAAGATGAAACCTCTACCACAGTTTATGCTTATGTTTGGTTTTCCTTAGATTTTTCATCATTGTTTGTGGACGCGAAGATATCCTAAAACTTAAAAGTGCAATTTCTTAGATATTTAAACAGCAGGAAATTCAAAATGCAGCAAATCAGCAAACTCCTTAGGCCAAGTCTTCATCAGTGTTATCTTGGAGAAAGGTGACACAACAACTTTGTTTCAACTGCACTGTTGGAGGAAACTAATCAGGGAATCTACAACATCTGTACAGGATGTGCAGAATGTGCCTTAAGCACGCAGAAGAGGAGGGCAAAAGAGAGGAGAGGAACTGAGTGGGGCGGAGGAAGAGGGGAGGACGGTTGTAATCAAGCTGGTGTAAGTGCAGACGGATGCAGGTTGTGCCCGTGGTCCTTGATGAAGTGCTTTTCTCCTGCTGAGCCACCAAACTATTTATTTACAACAAACTGGGCATGGAAGAGAACTTCTACCACTACTGCTCTTTCTTCCACTCTCCCATCCTCATAGATTAAAACATGGGTCGCACGTTACACACAAAGCTAAGAACCAGCATGTGTTGTCTTCAAATATTCAACTGACCAACTAACCTGACTGAATACCAATCTATTGTGTGTCTCACTTCATGTGTTGGACTGGGCGGCTTCTGCCTCAAAAACTAGGAACAACCTGAGCATGAGATCCTCGCACAGATCAAAGGTCAACCATGCAGTTTGGTTTAATCACATCAGAGCCAAGCTGACAGGATGCGAATGTGACATCATCCATAATAGACGAGCATCAGGATGAGGTCTCCACTGCTGCACATGTATACACACAACACCAAATAAAGGTGTAAACCCTTTACACAAATGTTAACTACCCCAGAAGTAAAAGCTGTGTATGTCACCTTCAAGATTAATGCTATTCCTATCAGTTTTTTTAACAGTTTCTACATATACAGTTTATTGCTAATCTAATGCTAATTTGCATTAACGGGCAAATGTACACCAGATAGTAGTGGAGCAAGTTGCAGTGAAAGGTAAAAGTTGATGAGTAACTTTTTGATAAAAAATAAGTGACCAGATTCGACAAGCTGCCAATCAGAAAACAGATTCCTGTGGTTCCTGTGACATGTTGACCTTTGTTATAAATATTTTTTGCACCAAGAAGGGCCCCTTGTTTAACATCCTATCGCCAAAATGTCGCTTTCTAAAAAATACCTTAGTATCAGTGTTTAGAGAGGGTTCAAGTGTACAAAATAATAATGTAGCAACCACAAGCTTGCGAACTAATACAAAAAACCTGATTCATTAATGACCTTTTATCAATTATCTCACATACGTTTAATTAATCATTTACAGCTTCTGACAGATTACCTTCTCTTGAGATGATGACACCCAGACTTGATTAACTATTAACCTATTATGTTAAGAGCCAGCGCTATTAACAGGAGCGCAGAACATAATGAAATTTTCTGTCATCTTTCAGAAGGTATTTATTAGAAAACCCACTTTCTCTGGCTTTGTGGTGAAAAGAACAATATGAGAGGTTCAATTCTCTCATTAATACATTAAAATGTCAAAGCTATATGTTAAAATGTCAAACCTAATGGTTCTGCCAGTCTGCAGAGGTAAATGTCAGGAAGAAAACAAATGCAGTTTGCAATGAACAAAACACAAGGCGGAGTGCTTTAAATGCCGGGTAAAGGTAACAATCTTATCTGAGAGATTCATCCAAACAAATGTAAATACCAATGTTGTGATGAAGGCGTAATCTGCAACTGCATCTTTCTTGGCCTCTGAAGGGGCCCCACTGAGAGGCTTCAATCACGCTGTAGGGGGTCAGTGACATAACTCCCCCACCTTGCCACCCCCAAAGTCACCTTTCGCTGATTGGGTAGAAGGTGGAGTGCAGTGCAGTGGAGTGGAGAGGAGAGGGGGGAATTGAGTCTGGGGATGAGGACTACGGTATGTACCCCACCCCATACAGTGTGTTCCAACAACATTGATTTGTCTCAAAAGATGACTGAGAGAAAAACAGTCACAATGTTCTATACACATGACTGCTTTAAACTTTAACAAGGCTTGAAATGTGATAAATATAACAACTTTTGTGAAGCAGTTATGCCCATAAAGTAGTTGTGGCCTGCCTGTGTGGCACATAATAGCCTACTACAGTCAAAGCAGCTAGTATGCTTAGCTTAGCGCAACGATAGGAAACAGCAGGGCTGGCTCTTTCTAATCATTAGACAGAGCCGGCCATTAGACTCTAATAGAAACAAGTAATTTCTTTAGCTGAACATTGTATGCTAACTTATAATATAGTCATTGTACGTTTTTAAAATAGATTAGGAGTTTAAAACAACACTTCAAAAACATCTACGACAAAACATTCCGTACACCATTTTAATAGCCTAAATCTTACACAAATAGGAGGCCTACGTGCAATCTGTTTTGTGACAATTGGTACAAGAGGACGATTCTTCACAGGAAAAGTTAGTAACCGTAACACATTCACAGTTATGGACTTGGCTCCACAGCTGAAGCTATCAATTTGATGTCACTTAATTTTAGCCGTGACATATATACATTAATAATATACTGTGCCATATATTTAACTCAGCAATGCAGCAAAGGGTGACTTCATAGATACAGTGATTGCATCTTTGACTCAATCTTTGCACATGAACTTTAAAGACACGTAAAAAAAACAGGACGCATCATTTTAAAATAGTTGTTTAATAAATAATTGCCTTTATATTAGCAGTTTATGATGACTGTTGAAAGGTATTATTTTATTTACTGCAACATTTATGCCAAGTCAAATATATAAAACACAGTTGCATTTAAACAGTCAGAGTAGCCCCCAAGAGATGATGAGAGGCAGGCAGTAAAGAGGAGAATGTATCTCACTGTCCATGTTAGTTTGAATTGTGGTGATTGTTGAGACAAAGAGAGAGTGAGAGATAGAAATAAAAAGAGAGACCGAGAGAAGCAGTTTCTGTCGCCCCTCCTAATAGGCCCAGCCAGGCTATTCATTACTCCCTGTACGCCAGCCGGTGTCAGTTATATTATTGCAAAGCCGTCCCTGACTGACGGCCAAGAGTGGGGGGTGAAAAATGGCTGCAAAATACTGCTCAATGCCCTGGGAGAAAACAAGGGAGGGGCTGTGATGGATGGGTGTGTTTGACCCGGGCGGGGTGGAAGGCAGAGAAGGGTCTCCTCCAGATGAGACAGGAAGTCGGCAGAGCTTGTGCCCCTCTGCCCAGAGCAGCCCAGCCTTGTCAAGATGAGAGGCATCTCGCTAAGCTGCCTCCGTCAGTGCTTCTATCACTTGTCTCAAAACAGACGCTCTCCATATTCAACAGATAAAACTGGATCTCACGTGATGGGAATACAGAAGCACAGCTACTGTAGGCCGTCCACTGAGTTTGTGACAGGCCTGATGTCAAACCCTGGCCAACCTCCCATAGCAGTCTCAAAAACAACATCATGATATATTAGACAGCTTTGGGATGATTTTATGCCCCATGTGGCCTTGCACAGTGAAAAACTAACAATCGGAACAGTTGGTTTTAGGTTCTCAGCTATATGTACTCAGAAGCCTCCATGTCAAGCTGTCGATATCTGGGTTTCAACATCACCTCTATTTTGCAATCAAGATCTGTGCGTTTTCTGTTCATTTCTATGCTGGTGCTATGTCAACATGTTTAATTGTCATTAAGACATGTTTTTTATGTCAGTAAGGTGCGTGTTCATTGGAAGGAGATGCAATTTGTATTATATTGAGCTCTTTTAAAATATCATCTAATCACTAAGAAATGTGTTTATTGTAATGCTTTTGATACAATTCTAAAAACTATTGTGATATGCTTCTCCTTACTTAAAAGGACATGTGATGCGGTTTCATTATCTTACCATATGTCAGAATGCAATTAAATACATTTACTACATTGTATAAACAAGAGCATAACTAATGTATGGTCCCTGTTTATTGTTTCTGTGGCTATGGGCCACAATATGTATTCAACTTTGTATCTTTTATTTTACAATCACGTTTGGACTCCCGATATAATTGCCTTGGAACCAGTTCTTTTTTTAAAAAACAGGCTAAAGGTCTTCATTTGACCTTTTCATTACTCAGTTTGACACATGCTGGAGCCCCCCTGCTGCACTGTGTGGTTAATTACATGTTTGCCTCCAGGGAACACTGCAGTTTGCCATATTGCAAATATGCAACAGTGGTTTAAGATTAAGAGAATCATGTTTTGGTAACACAAGGTGTTCAAAGGGTGTCAGTTAATTGTCTTACTAATATTTTTTATTTCAGCATTGACAGACGAATAATGTTCAGTTAATTCAGGTGGCTGTACCCAATAAGTACAAAATTCTGTCAAAGAAAAAAAATGTTCCCAAACTAAATAATTACATCCTGATTCTGTGTACATCTCAGACCCATACAACATCAACATCAATCCGGAAGTTGATAGACGCCATCTTGTGCAACTAGCCTAAAATTATAACCAAATAAGCAAAAATTAATGCATCCATAAAATAATGGAGAATTGTTGCCATTGTTGCTGCGACAGGACTTAACCACGAGCCAGGATCCTGTTTGACGCGTGACGTACATAATGCTGACGTCACGTGGTTGACGTTTGCGGAAGCAAGCCGTTGCTTTAGCGGCTGTTACCTCACAATCAAAACAGAGGGGATGTTTTCGTATTAAACCTCGAGAAATCGCTAAAGATATAACAGATTTCGCTTTTACTCTGTCCGGTCGACATACCGGTTATCTCTGTTTGCCTGACAGACGACTGAGAAGTATCTAAACATTGACTGAGATGGAGGTAAGTGTTCAGTGTCGAGGAGTTAGCTTTAGCCAGTCTGAAACAACTTAGTAATACCTGTATAGCATCTTAAAATAAGCTTAAAATATAATGCTCTGCTGTATATAGAGTTGTGCTTTGGATATTGAAACAGGGCTGTAGAGCAATAACATGTTAAGGGACCCGTTTGTCCTGTTTACTAGCGAGCTTCACTTCAAACCATCTTATTTAAATGTACTCAATATCGACTAAAACGTTACTTGTAAGGACATTAACATACTATATACAGTAGTACATATATTATATTCTAAAACAACCGGTATATTAAACCTGATTCCTCACCGTTTTTCATAACTTGCCTCTACCATCAAGTACATTGTGTCACTGTTGACACAGGGAAATATGAATACTTTGACTTAGTATATGTACATGCTGAATAAAATATGAGCTCCCAATGAAACGTATAAGCTGGTAAAACATGCTCTGTCGATTTGACATTTTGCAGACCAACATAGCGATATTATGTTTTTGATTTTCAAAGGAAATACTGTAGGCTACTAGTACTGACTAGGAGACTGGTCTTTTGTCAAGCATGGGGAAAAAAGGAATAGCAGAGTTTTTAAATGTTATTGTTACAATCTGCACATATTTAGGTTTGCCTTTTTTTCCTTTGACTGAAACAGGAGCCTAGTGGTACCGGAGGAGAGTCTCCAGCTCCATCACCAGCAGGTGCATCCAAGTCCAAGGTACTGCACATTTAAATTCAGACTATTGATAAAAGGGATGTTAAAATATCTAATATTTGTCGAGATTTGTGTACAGTTAATTAATTGTTTCATATGTATTGGTATATATTCCTTCTTTCTAAATATTGTATTTGCAGCTGGACACACTGCCCAAAGATGACCTTATCAAGTTTGCAAAGAAGCAGATGGCTCTCATGCAGAAGATGAAGGGCAGATGTGGAGGTAGCTATACATGCTCTAAAAGCTTGTTTCTGTGGACCAACAGTGTACATCTTTGTGATAACATTTCCCCTTTCAGCTTTGGAAAAAGAAGTGGAATCCCTCAAACAGCAATCCAAAAACAAGAATGGCAGTTCAGATGACTCCACTCTGATACAGGTTTGTTTGTAGGGCAGAAATCTATCATGTGTCTGCTTTAAAATAAGGATTTGTTAACATGTCCAGTTCAGTTTCATACTTGCTCATGCAAACCCTGTGTGTATGTGTAACAGGAGTTGACTGAGAGGATGGATGCCTTACTGCTGGAGAAGGCTGAAACTCAGCAAAGTCTTTCAATTTCTCGCAAAGATCTAGAGAAGACTAAGCTGCAAGCCAAGGTGACTACAGCACAAATACTTTAATGAGCCAGTTTTACTGAATTCTATGCTGTTTCTCTGAAAACTGGGACATTTCAGCATATTTGCATACATTGTAAAGGCAAGGCAAGTTTATTTATATAGCACCTTTCAACACAAGGCAATTCAAAGTGCTTTACAAAAAATGAAAGACATTAAGAAAATGGCATTTAAAATCAGTCATTAAAAAGAAAAGATAATAAAATAAACATTAAAAGAAAAAATGCATGGATAAAAGTTACAGTGCAGTTTAAAGGAGACCTATCATGCAAAATGCACTTTTGTATGTCTTTAATACAGGAATATGTGTCCCCGGTGTGTCAGGGAACTCACCAAGTGTCAGAAAACACAACCCTCTCTCTTTTCCTCCATACCCAAATCTCTAAAAACGGGGCTGCAATTGAGCTGATACAGACTGAGACAGATTTGAAATTGTTCTGATGTCAGAAACAGGGAGCTCCACCCATATGGGCAACTCTCCACCAATCAGGGGAATGAGAGGTTGGGCCACGGCCGGCCATTGCCGCTCGAAAGCGCTGGACACGCTGTAGTACATATGCCAGGCCTGTAAGTGGCGCTGTAGTCTGCCACAAATGCAGCGTGCCATGGTTGCCCTTCTGTCCCCTTCTGTTTGTTCTCCGCTGTGGCTCTTTTAAAGTCCAATCATTGATGCATGTATGCTTATAAGGAACATATATTGTCATAAACCCCCATATAACTTATTTTGTGCAGGATGATGTAGCAGTGCTGCAAGGAGAGCTTGACCGTGCGATAGAAGATCACCAGAGAAAGATCACAAACCTGGAAAGTACAATTGAGGAGTCCAACAACAAGCACCAAGAAGAGATGTCTTATTTCCAGAGATTACTTAAAGAGCGAGAAGACAGTGACAGGGAGAGGGAGAGTGAAAGAGAGAGGGAGCGCCAGGCTGAAAGTGCCAGCGCAAAAGAGAGCACTGAAGAGGTCAGCCGTTGCTTAGAAGCACAACTGGAAGCGCTTCGATCTGAACTGGAAGCAATCCAAGAGCAAAGATCCAAGGAGATCGCTGAGCTGCAGGAGAACCACCAAAAGGAGTTCACCAAGGCCCAGCAGGAGGTGGAGAACCTGAAGGAGGAGCTTTCTCACAAGGGTCTGCAGCACGAGGAGGAGATGAGGGCGCTGGAGGAGGACTGTGAGATCGAGAGGGACCGTCTCCTGCTGCTCCACGAGGAGCTGACCGAGCAGCTCGCTCTCAAAGGTACAACAGAACTTTATTTGACAAAAGAGGTCGGAGTAGGAGCGAGACCTATTGCAGTGAAGTGTGCTCACTGTTTCCTAGAGAGATGGTGATACTGTGTATGCACACTTTGAATTGATTTTTGAAACCTAAGGGTAACCCAGTTTTGCAGCAAAGAGACTTTTTATGTGCAAGCAGAATTGGGGCTGCTACGATCGGGTTATTTTATTATGGAATCTTCTATACTTTTAACACAACATAATTCACAAATTAAAAGCCAATCTGAAGAGGTGTGTTTTGGTGTGCACATTTTTATTGTGTATATGTTCTCCAGTCTAATGAACAAATGAATAAATGAAAAATGAGTGCTTATATTATAACTGTATTGTCAAATATTGTATCTGTGTGTCCATCTCTGTAAATCATTGTTTCATTGGACATTAAAAAGGCTTTTCCAGCTAACATGAGCCATATGTTTCCAGACAGCTTCCTGCAGGATGTGCAGGAGGAGGACGAAGAAGCACCCCGCAGTTTAGGGATCGCTAAAATGCTTGAGCTGTCGACCTTCAGTCAGGGTGAGTCCACCCAGAGTGAGGGAGAGGAGACAGAAACCGGGAGAGTGAGAGCACCCATGGAAGACCTGCAAGCCCAGAACACCATGTTACAGGATGAGCTCACCCTGCTAAGCAATGTGAAGGGTGAGCTCGAGGCAGAGCTGGAGAAAACCAAGGAGGAGTTTCAGACGGAGAAAGAAGAGATGGAGTTTAAAATCAATGAATTGCAGATGAACAAGGACATTCTTCCCAGTGATGTAGCCATAACCCTGAACCCTGAGCAGCAGGATGCAGAGTTACAGCAACACAGTGAAGCCCTCCAAGATGGAAGTGAAGAGTCGGCAATAGCTCCTGAAGACCAACACCTCTTGAATCCAGAGGAGCTGAGGGCCAAATGGGAAGCTTTGACCACCGAGAGAGACTCTGCCATGACTGAGTGTCAACACGTGAGAGAAGTGCTGCAAGGTGTGGAGAGAGAACTGGGCGAGAAGACACAGGATGTTGTTCTTCAGCAACAAGCCATGAAAGAGCAGGGGGCCAATACTGTACAGGAACTCCAAGACAAGATGGAGCAACTCAGCCAGGAGAGGGAGGAACTACATGTGAAGGTGAATCAGATCTCAGAGGAGAAAGACACTCTGATGAAGAACCTACAAGACCTGCAGCTGAAGCTTGAAGACCAGAAACTCCAGTGGTCTGTGGAGGAACACACTGCTTTAGTGTCTGAGCTGAAGCAGTCTGTGGAGGAAGTGAGCAGGCAGAACGAGGAGATCCTCTCCCAACTGCACATGAAGGAAAACATGACCCAAGACCTGAAAGAGATGGTGAACACACTGACTGAAGAGCGGGACAGGATAGAATCCCAGCTTCAGCACAGAGAAGAGGAAATGGAGAGGCTGAGCGACAAGAGAGAGACAGAAATCCAGAGGCTGCTGGAGGAAAAGGAGAAGGAGGCGCTTGTGTGCAGAGGGGACCGAGAGCAGGAGTTGAAACTTCTTGAAAAAGAGAAGGAGGATGAAGTGCAACATCTAAAAGAGGAGAGGGAAAGGATCCAGGAGACAGCTTCTGCTTTGGAGCTGACAATCAAAGAGCGCTCCACAGAGAAGGCTGACCTCCAACAGAAATTGGAAGAGGCCTCTGCTGGCCTTTCCAAAGCCCAGGAAGCAGTGGGGCTTTTGGCCTCCAAGCTGGCAGACCTGGAGGCTCAGCTGGAGCAAGAAACATCTGAAAAGAACCTCCTAGAAGCAAAGTTAAATACACTGAAGACGGAGGACACAGAACAGGCCCGCGCCACCATCACAGCTCTGGAGGAAACTCACTCTGAAGCGCTCAGAAACTCCACAGAGGAAGTTGAGGGGCTCCGATCACGTGTGGGTGAGCTGGAAAAGGAGAGGGAACTGTTGAGGAGCAGCAGCGTGCAGGAGTCTGAAGGGGCCGTAGGGTCAGAGGAGGTGGAGAAGGAGCTCCATGCTCGTATCGCAGACCTGGAACAGGAGAGGGACATGTTGAGAAACAACCTGGAGGAGGTGGTGAAGGACACTGAAGGTCTGCAGAAAGACCTGGAGGACATGAAATCAGTCAATGAGAAGATGAATAAGGAGAACCAGAGACTGCAGACTCACATCTCTCTGGTGGATGAGGAGGAAGAGGAGAAGGAGGAAGGGGAAGTGGAGAGTGAGATGGAGGGTTTGGAAAAGCAGAGAACAGAGCTCAAAGACCAGCTGACGGAGAAGGACTCCCTCATAGCTCAGCTGAGAGGCGAGATCGTAGCGCTGCAGGTGAGGGGAGACCCTGATGCTTTTGGTTGGTGTTAGTGCACAGGAAATGTAGATGCTGTTGTCCTGATCATGTCAAGCTAAATGTTCTGAATCATTAGTTGTGTTTGATCATGCAGATAAGGCTTAAATAAGGTCACACATGGTCATTAAGACACATTCATCCAGGCAGACCTTTTCTGATAGCCCTATTTGAAAAATGCTCAAATCAAAAGATTTCCCAAATTGAATATAGTTAATTTAGTTAAAAAAACAAGTTAAAAACAACTAACAAGTAATTAAACCAGGGGTTTCAAACTCAATTTCAACTCGGGCCACATTAGCATCATATGGTTGCACTCAAAGGGCCAGTTTTATATATAAGACTATATAAGAACAAATATATAAATATTTAATATATATAAAATAATGTATTATATAACATTATTGCCTCTGCATTGGATTATTATCGGATAGGGTAATAACTTCATAATTAACTACGTCTGAAAGCAGAAGTCTAGGGCAAACAATTGCAAGTCTCTTCAGTGCGCATGTCACAAAATGATTTAAAAAGAAAAGCCAAATAAAAAAAAAAAAGTGACATTTTGAGGAAAAAAATGCAAATTCTGAGAAAAAAGTCTAATTTGAGATGCATTGTGGGACATGTAGTTTATGGGCAATGTGCTTCTGTAAAGCGGCATGTAACCGTATAATAAACATATTATATTCTTTGCAAGCTCTTGTGGGGCCGCATTAAATGAAGTCGCGGGCCGGGTTTGGCCCCCGGGCCTTGAGTTTGACACCCCTGAAATAAACACACAATAGCATTTGCAGCTTTTGCCTTAATTCTTACATATTATATACCTATAAGTAGATGAACTAAAAGATACATTAAATGGTTTTTTTCAACTTTAGAAATATTGCAGTTCTTATTTCCTGTTACTCTGACCCAGGTATCTAACTCTGGAGAAACAAACAGATGCACATTTTTAGGGGGGAATGTTTGCTTTATGAACATTTTGATAAAAAAAAACGACGATTACTGACTTTGGATTGGAATGTTTTGTGCTTTTCACTCCCTTTCTCTCTCAGGATTCTGCCGTCCAGTCGGCTTCCTCTGAAGAGAATGCAGCCAGTGAGACCACAAAGAAAATAGGTAAGACGACATTGTTATTATTTATACTATATATTTAGCTACTAAATATGGTCCTTAGTTTGCTTTCCCTTTGGAGCAAGTTTGAAATGACAGATGATCATAACTCAGGTCTTATAACTCCCTTAGCTCTCCTGGTGAAAGAGCACAAGGAGAAGGACGAGAAGATGAACAAAATCAAAGCAGTTGCCATTAAAGCAAAGAAGGAGCTGGAAATCAGTAAGAAAGAGGTAAAGAGAAGCATGCATTTTCGATACTGTTAATGTTGGATTGCTATCCTTTATTAAACATGTACTTGATATTTGAACATTAGAATGATAATAAATAGGAGTTTATAGTGTTTCCTGATTGTTTAACCAGAGTTTGTAGTGTAAGGAAGCAATATACCAAGGTCAGGAAACTAGCTAAACATTGATACAGTTTATTTTGTTCCCTCTGTGCTCTGATTAGTGATTGTACACATTTCCCCCCAGGTTGCCTCCCTCAAGGAGAAAGTAGAGTCACTGGAAGCAGAGAAGGCGAAAGTGAGCAGCTCTATGAAGGATATCATCCATGGTGCTGAAGGCTACAAGGTATGCGCAACAGAAGAACTATGGGAATATCCTGCTTCAGTAATTGTATCAGTGTCTAAATATTTCCTAATCTTTGACAACAAAAGGCATTATTTAGCCTGGAGCCACTTTCCTTTGCCTCACTGGCGGATGAAAATGAAGTTTCGGTGTCCAGCGGTATCAAATGCCACCATGTTTAGACTACTGAAGGGAGTAGCACAATCTTCACTTTTCCAAAATCCTGTATGTACGCTAAACATTTAATTATTAAAAGGCTGCTGGAAGAATTTTGGCGGCCTACCCAGGACGTTAGCATCGCCGTGGTTCCTTCAAAATACATTTTCTTCCATTGGAGTTTTGATTATAGCGTACTAAAGTCTGTGGCAAAAGCGTTTATGATATGATATGATGACTAATGACACACTACATCTTTACAAATAAACACCACTTTAAAGATTGTTTATGTGTAAATGCAATCGCTAAAGTTCGGATATAAAGGAACTACCACCATCAAGGAACTGCATGATAATGTTCAGTAGTCTAATTTATCATGCGTTTTAATGTCGTAGGACAAAGAATGGCAATCTATCAAGGTTATTAGCCTTTTTGTAGGTATCTCACCAAAAAACGTATTGACTTTGGAATAAGACAACCTGAAGTGCAAAACATTCAAACTAGTCTTTGTTTTAGGACTAATTCCTGCTGCACTCTTCTTCATGCCTTTCTAAAATGCTGCTTATTAGCAAGTGGAAGTCTGCTCACTATGAAACAGACCTCTGCGAATGATGTCACTCCCCAAGGTCCCCATAAGCTGTCCCAGAATGCACTGTGCTTTACGACTGTGTCTCCATTAGAGGAGAAACCAGTCTGTTGTGTCTAATTAGAGTGTGTAAATACAGCTGAGGTTTGAGATGCATAGTGTTTACCTTCAGTGAACTGTTCAACCGGCTTCCAGTAATAAATGAATTTGTGTGTGTTTGCGTGTAGAACCTGCAGATAGACTACGACAGGCAGACAGAGCAACTGGATAAAGAGAGGGAAAAGGTGGAGGAGGCGGAGAGACAGATTGCTGAGCTGACCAAACGATTCAGCAGTGCTGTCACACAGGTAACACAAACACACACTCAATCACACACTCCCACACATAACAAACACAAAGACTGCCCTCACCCTCCAGTAAATCCCAGCAGCGCCGCTTTCTCCGGCAATATATCTCCAATACTTCTCGCATAACTCAGCCACCATCTGATTTACAGCGAGTCATTTTAGCCAGCGACACTTTACGCTGCGATGCTTGGCGGCGCAGCTCCTGCAAATAGCCCATCAGATGTGACTGGGTGAGCTGGGGAGAGATTTTGTTTATATATACTCCTCTCCCCAAGCTCATAACTGTCTCTTTCCAATGAGGGAACAACAAGCAGGTAAATGGAGCGGAGTGTAGCTTCCATCTGCTGCGTGTGAGAGCTACACCATTTCTGAGACTTTTCATATTCTTGTGGGTCTCTGGTTTGGGGGGGGGGCAGGAAGACTGAAAGCTAGTCGGGGATCTAAGAGTAGGCCTGGACATCTCTGTTTGTTTACCAATCATATTTCAGTGTTTTGCTGACAAACGATAAGAGGTAGCTTCTGCTGCTCGTTCAGTGTTCCTTGCAGAGGAAGCCCTCAGGGTCCGCCGCTGTCAGATTTGCATGAATGACTCTGAAATGTGTCCATGCAGTTTTGGCACATTTACCTATGTTTTTGCATTTGCAGGTGAACACCTTGGATCTGAAATAAGTATCTTTGCAGTGGGATTTTTAAAGATTATAGAATAAAAGCTAAACCTAGCTTAATTTACCACAGTCAAATCCTACTGATTATGTGCAATATTCAAAGAAAAAGTACAAACAGAAGTTATTTTGATTGAACATGCTAATGGCACCCTTTACCTAAACCAGAGGAAAGGCAGATACTGTATTCACTTAAGGATATAAGAGTCAAAGCTGTGTCTGTCTGTATATGTCACCCCTTGTTTATTTTTACCATTGATAATGAAGTCACATTTGATCTATTGGTAAAGGCAAGTGGACATATAATGCACATGTTCAGGTTCATATTTGTATTTTGTGTCTCTACTCGGACATGTTTACATGCCTTCCTGTTCAAAAAGGTATTTATTTGTCTCATACTGCCTGTGCTGCAGCACCTCTTTTCACCCTCTGTCTGAAACCTGAGCGCAGTCAACCGCTTAGAGATGTCCCGCCCCTTACCCTATTACATACAACGTGTTGGAGCGCTAGCCAATAGAAGCACAAGTACTACATAGTGATGTCATAATGTTACGGAAGTAAACAAAGGAGTCCAATGGAGGCGTTTCAGGCAGGGGGGGGAGTTTCTTGGCAGACCATTTACATGCACACAAACCTATATAACACTACAGGAAAGGGAAAACTCCAAAAAGCATAATTAGTTGCCATCTTGAAGGGTTAGTAGTCTCTAAATTGTGAATGCTTTTACAGATTGAAACGCTGAGCTGTGAGAAGGAGGACCTGCAGGCCAGCCTGGAGACCACGAGGAGCACAGTGAGGCAGCAGGAAGCACAAAACCAGGAGCTGCAGAGACAGTCAGCCGCTCTGGAGAGAGACCTGCTGGCAGAGAGATCGATGAAAGAACAGAAGATCAAGGTAGAAATATGAGAGAAGGATACTCTGTACTCATATGTACTTATCAGAGGTCATGCCAGCCTCTGCTCCCAATTTTGTCTGTAAACGGATCTTATAAAGCAACATTCAGTGAGGGAAACCTTAGACTAAACTATGACTGTTTTTTTTACTGTTCCAATTTTATGCAAAAAACGTGAACAAATTTAGAGAAATCACAAAAAAGTATTAATGCTTTGCTGCTTGGGCAAAGTTGGTGAATTGATAAAAGCAAATATGAATTGGACAAAGCAATGAACAGTTTCAGCAAATACATGACGTATAAATGGCATCTGATTGATGTAAAAAGAATAATAGTTTTCTGACTGGTTGACGTGTATCTCTTATCTTGATGAACTAATCCCTGACAATGACATGGATTGAAACCAGCGTCCATTCACAATGTTCTTATCGGATTTTTCCTTGAAATTCTGTCTATTTAAATTCATATTGAAACTATGAAATGTACATTATATACTTACTGAAAACCCCTCTGTGTCCTCATGTCTGTGTGTTTTCCTGCTTTTCCAGGATTTGTCATCTGCCACAAAGGAGTTAGAAGAGCTGACAGCTCAGCTCCGCAAGCAGCAGCAACAGTCTCAGCAGACTGCCCAGGAGCTGGAGCAGCTACGCAAGGCACACACACACACACACACACACACACACACACACACACACACACACACACACACACACACACACACACACACACACGTGTTTCAGACTGTAGTGTCTCTGAGGGCCTGTCCACTCAAGCGGCTGGACTGGTGATGGTCGGCCTGCAGCTACAGTAGCACCTCTCAGAGAGAAAGAGCAGTTTTAGCCCACAGCACAGGAACTGATGTTTCTTTTCCATTAGTGGAGACCCTTTAAGTACAGCAGAGTACATGCAAGCCGCCAGGAGCTCTGACTTCATGTCCAAAAAACACAGACTTCTTGAGGTCCATACAGATAATAGTCTTTGAGAGTATAGAAAAAACGAATAATGATATATTGGATTTTATTGATTTTAGAGTAGTGATGAAGAAATGTGTATTGTCTTCAATTACCGCCTTATTATTAAACTGTAAACTTCCCTTTACAAAGTACTACAAACATATATTCATCTTTAAAATATGAAAGATAAGGGGGTGAGGGTATTGTCATTGTTATTCAATGATTCTACATTTTTGTGAGACCTACTTCAGTCCACTAAAGAATACAAAGGAAATATTTAATAATATATTTTTTAAATATAACAACGGCGTAAAAATGATATTCTCTTTCAATTACATTTTGGATAAAGATAGTCAGTTGTTGAAAGTCAACCTCAACTCTAAACCACATTTTCCTCTCCCGTAAACGTGTGCAACATGTTCACTGTACTGATTGTATGTTGGCTCTGCCTGCAGGAGGCGCAGCAGAGCTCTCTGCTGGACATGGAGATGGCCGACTACGAGCGACTGGTGAAAGAACTCAACGCCAAACTCTTAGATGGAGAGGAGTGTGCCGTGGAGTTAAAGGCCCAGATAAACACACTGAACCAGAAGGAGGACACACTCAAACAGGAAATCCGTACGTGTGATACAATATCAGCTGGGGTTGGCTGCAGCCCGTTCACACCCCTTTAAATATAGGCAGGTCTAGCTGAAGGATGGATATATAATTATGTAGAAAATGCATGAGAATAAGAACAGCGTGATTCCACAAAATTAGTATTTGAAGATTGTTCAGACCTGTACAACCTCAAAGGATTCAAAGGCTTTATTTGTCATATTCACATAGCTACAGTGTACAGTAGTTGTTGGCGATGAAAAACTTGAATCTCAGACTCATCAAACAATTCAACATATCATGTATCAAAAGAAAAATACATAAAATAGTTCAACAGACAAAACGGTGCAAGTAAGTGTCAGGAATAAGAACAATATATTAATATAAGATAAAGAAATAAACAGAATGAAAAATGAAATACTTGTAGGATAAATACTGTATACTGCTATAATAAATAATTGGAAACCTGTTTGTTATTTGACAATTATACAATAAATATGTATTGTACTGTAACAAATGAGACAAAGCACATCAGAGCCATTGTATCAGGTATGGCTGAAACTGACCTGCTCAAATAGGATGTTTAATAAAAGGGAGTGTCTTTGTATAAATGCAAGCCATAAAACCGCAACATCCCGGGTTTACATCCTGACTTGTGGTTAGACACACCCCCACCCCCCTGTCTCTCTCATCATTTTCTATACTACCCTCTTTCAAATCAGGGGGAAACACTTCAGGGAAATGATTTTTAATAAAAGACTGAACTCTAGGTTATTTATTTTTGACAAAGTGATATATGCTACAGGCCTGATAAGTAAGTGAACAGTTTTAGTTCTCCATTAACTGAGGGTTAACATTTATTCTTCCTGCAAAGCCCTAATGATTTACTGTCTACCATATTACTGCAGGGTAGGGCTGCTCGATTATGGCAAAAATCATAACCTCGATTATTTGGGTCAATAATTGATATCACGATTATTAAAAACGATTATCCATTTACTTTGAAAACATCCATTTATTGAAAAAAAAATGTGAACAGTATGTTTTTAACAGTTGATTATGTTTTCAAAGTAAATGGATAATCGTTTTTAATAATCGTGATATCAATTANCAGATGTGGATGAATGATGTGAAATATAATCAAGTGTTAAATCAGACTTTAGTTCCACCTGGAGTAAATCCACAAGCTACCCTGCAGTATACAAAGTCATTCAAACTAGCTGCACCTTTACCAGCTTTGAGAACACTTTCATGATCAATCATTATAAAACATATCATATATATTATTCTGAAATGGACCAATCTGCACAATGACTACTTTTACTGTCGCTACTTTCACTATATTTTGATGAGAATACTTTTCTACTTTTACTTGAGGAACATTTTGAATGCAGGACTTTTACTGTAACAGAGTATTCCTACACTCTGGGACTTCTACTTTTACTCAAGTACAAGATCTGAGTACTTCTACTTTTACTCAAGTACAAGATCTGAGTACTTCTACTTTTACTCTAGTACAAGATCTGAGTACTTCTACTTTTACTCTAGTACAAGATCCGAGTACTTCTACTTTTACTCAAGTACAAGATCTGAGTACTTCTCCTTTTACTCAATTACAAGATCTGTGTGCTTCTACTTTTACTCAAATACAAGATCTGAGTGCTTCTACTTTTACTCAAGTACAAGACCTGAGTACTTCTACTTTTACTCTAGTACAAGACCTGAGTACTTTTACTCTAGTACAAGATCTGAGTACTTTTACTCTCGTATAAGATCTGAGTGCTTCTACTTTTACTCTAGTACAAGACCTGAGTACTTTTACTCTAGTACAAGATCTGAGTGCTTCTACTTTTACTCAAGTACAATATATAAATATATACTTATACCACCTCTGTTTATAGCCTATGAAAAAAACTATTAGAAATAGAAGGCTAAAGCTAACGTTAGCAGATAGTGACAATGTATGCTAGCTAGCTAGCTAGCTCAACGATTCCTTAAATAATATTGCCCCAGAAAAACTTTTCAGTTCACATCACGTTCTGCCGCTCCGACAGGGAGCTCTGCTCTGAACACCTGAACGGCCCGTTCTAACATGAACCCTCTGAGGCCTTAAAGCTAACAGTACCCCTGGATGGAGTTCTTATCGTTTTTACTTCTTAGTAATCATTTGTTCTGTTGCAAACTCTCACACTGACTCATCACACAAAACAGAGCAGACATTTTCTAGAAGATTCCCCTGAACATGAACCCTCTGCCACATGAGTGCACTGCCACCGTGTGGACACCACCGGTACAACAGCTAATCTATCAGCTTTCAGGCATGTTGGTACAATTCTCAGATCAGAGTGGAAATTCTCAGAACTACTTGTTTAACCCAGATAATCTAGCCACATGTGAAGATCGTAAAAGCAATTCTCAATCTCGCAAACAAATTACAAATGCTTCGGCACATTCATTTACAATGTATTATAGTGGTTCTCTGTTTAAAAGTCTTACAACCTCTCAGCATCTCGTAGTTCATTGCATTAGTCAAAATGGTTTGTTGTCAAAATTGATCAATCTTATCTTCTATACATTTTTGTTTATTTTTTGTTGTAAATGTGTGCTGTATTGATGAATTAATACATTCACTAAAGAAGGGGAATGCGTAAAGCGTTAGATCGACCAAGCATCAACCAGTAAGTTCATATATCTACATTTGAACTTTTGTTCATGCAGTGCTGAAAACGGTTGTTTGTCTCACAATGACAAGGTCTGTCTGTTAAAGAGTATAGAAAAGTGCAAATGTTACGGATATTCCTATAGAAGTATACGAAGAAAAAGAGCAACATATCTAGCACAAATCACTGTTGTGTTAGTATTATTAGGAATCTTCTCAAAGTCAAAATACACAATGCAATATTCAAAGGGTTCACAGACCGAGGTGAGCATGCAGCTCCTTAAACAGTATAATACCAAAACATAGCCTGAAGAAAGCAATGGAACCTCATTTGCTGCTTCAATTACAAATAGTTTAAACGTTAACATAACATCTTCTTACCAGCGCTTTGTGACCAACCGTAGTGAGGATATGTGTCGTTGTAGATGAAGTCACTTTGCTGTCACTGCAAACACTCTTAATGCCGTTATCTTAGTCTGCAAGACCACATCACTTCCTGTTTGCTGTGGTGTGTGTGTGTGTGTGTGTGTGTGTGTGTGTGTGTGTGTGTGTGTGTGTGTGTGTGTGTGTGTGTGTGTGTGTGCGGGTGAGAGGGTGTGAATGTGTGTCCCTACTTGTGTCCATGTGCCAGTATGTGTGTGTGGGAGATGGGTGGACGTAAAGCCAGCATACATACTTGTAGCCCTGTGTGTGTGTCGTGTTGCAGGGTGGTGGAGGGGTGTGAGGAGGGGGGAGATTCAGGGAGATGAAAAAAGGATCCGGTAGTTCTCATAGACCTGCCATGTTATCTCTCCAGCTTCAATGGTGAGAGGTTAAACCACGTTACCACACACACTGACTGCCACTGGCACAGTATACCCACTGGGAGTGAGGTTGATCCATTATAATCATGGGTGTGCCTTGAAATATGAAACCAAGCTCTGTCTTCACTGACTGTTTCGCAACTATTTTGGGCTGTTAACATGACAACAACATAATAAAGTAATCGAGTTAGAGGAACTTTGTTGGTATTGGCTGTCAAACTAAAAAAATAGGTAAATAGGAATAAAGAAAACGTTTAAAACCCCTAAACTAAATGCCACACGTTTACACTTAAATGTACAATGTATTAGCAGGAACATACTGTAGATTACAGAATAAGGATATTAAGCAAAACAAAACTAGTAACTACATTTGAATAGAAATATAGTCAGACTGCAAATACATATGTTGACTCATCTGCCAATTCATCTTTTGATTTACTGATTACTGAAATATCACTAAAAAGGTTTTTTTAAAAATCCATTGCAGATTCTTAAAGTCCAATATGACATCTTTGAATTTTCCTAGTGTCAGTATATAAAAAAGATTCTGTGTTTTCCCAAATATTCTGGTATACTAACATGTTTTTAGAACTTGTCACTGTTAACTGGAAGGATGACTTGTGCAGATCGCTGAATTACATGCTGCCTTAACCCAAGCAACTCATTGTTTCCAGTGATTTATCCGGGAGTATAGCAGAAATGTTTAGAAGTAGGAATAGAAATAGCATGACATAACAATTTGAAGTTCCCTTTATACACACACACACACACACACACACACACACACACACACACACACACACACACACACACACACACACACACACACACACACACACACACACACACACACTTTGCAGACACCTCACACACACACACACACACACACACACACACACACACACACACACACACACACACACACACACACACACACACACACACACACACACACACACACACACACCATGCAGGAGGAACTGCTGCAACCATTGCCTCTTGTTCCACTCTTCCTTCTGCCTCAGCCAGGCTGTTATCATAGCAGACTTTGCTATGATAAATATCTCAATTACAACAGTTTCTGATTGTTTCATATAGCAAAGAACCCTTTAGAATATCATAGTAAGTCTAGCTAGTAATGAAGTGGTAGGCCTTAAATGTGCATCCAGAGCAGAGTCAGTTATTCCGTGTAGTAGAAATGAGCTACAGTGTAGGTTGCAATAAACACTTCTTCACACACCACATTGCGTACACACACACAGTCCAAATCCTAAATCACACAAGTGCACCGCTCTTCCAAACAAGGACAAGTCCACACTGGAGGAGCCCGGGACATTCTTCTAAGCTCTGGTTGTATCAACACCGTTTAGAATCAGATGAAAATGTAATACGTTGGGAATGCAGCAGCAGCAGCAGCAATCCTCAGGCCTTTCAAAGACTTGCCCTCTGACAGCTTTTAGTGTCCAGAGAGCTTTATAAAAGCCAGATTCATCCCGGGCCATAATTAACTCAGCGGTGCACACAGTAGCATTCACACTGGTGGAAAATAATACGGCTCTTTAAAGCAGTCCCCCGGGAACAGATGGTCAGGAGGGGTTCAGAAAGCAATAACTAGTGTCCAGTGAGGTTCTGTGGACATTCCTGTGCAGGGAGTAGAATGATTTGTAGAAAATAGAGGATCTTCCTCCTTCTTCCTTTACATTTGTGTTTTGGCTGCATTGTTGTGAGTGTATCACTCCTGTCTAAAGTGTGAGAGCAGTTTAGGTATTTCATTATTACAACTTTTGCTTATATAATATGCAATTGGAGATTCTCCCAAACTGTCACTGTGATTATTTGTTTTAAGCTAGACGTGTGGCTAATGGAAAACCTGCTAAAGCTAGGATTTATTTTGGTGCGCAGAAGCATGGAAATTGAAAAAGAAACTAAAAAAATAAGGAGATTTGTTTCTAACACAGATATTTGATAATTGTAATACAATAGCGAGATATAATATTGAAATACATGTGCATTTGTTAAAAATCTGAAATAAAAACACCAGTACCAACAGACAATGTAAAAGTAATTTGCTTAATGTAAGGTAAGGAAGGGAATTCATTCTGATCATCAAGATAACAATTGTTTTACAATAATTATGTGATTTGTTAAATCATCACAGTAATATAGAAATATAATCCCTGTTGCTTCTGTGGCATCCTACTTGTAGAACATGATTGCTGTATTTTTGGAAATATGTTTCATCGCATGATGAAAATATCAAAACAGCCCAATGGGATACAGGTGACTTTCTCAACAGAAAGATGCTCTTCAAACCAACCTCAATATCACATCTGTCATCTTAAATGGCTAATAGGTCCACGAGACAATTAGATACTTTTCACTTCTGTATAAATCTGATACACACCACGGATATATCATGTATAGAACGTTTTGATCACTTAAAATACAGTTTTTCCCAACTAAAAGCTTTCATCGTGAAGACGGTAGAGGGCGCTAGCGAGCACTTTAACTGAGGCTGAGATTGTAGCTTTACAACATTATAAGTAACTAAGCTACATTAGCTAGCTCCAAAGAGTTAGTGTGTAGCTAATGTAACAACAACTTTCCGGGATAAAAGACAGTTTTTCTAAAATGTTTTATCCAACAGTTTTCCTGACCCATGACAGAATGGAACAAACCGGGGGCTGCGTCTTTTTTCATCCATCGAGAAACTGTCAACTTCCCAAGTTTTCGGGCAAAAGTCTCTTTTAGGGAAACACTTGTAAAACTTCTCACTTACCCGTTCGTCATTTCAGTGATGCCGAGCATGACTCCGCTCTCTCCCGGCCCAGGCTGGGGTTTTCCGCCTCCAGTTGTAGATGTACAGATGTTTGAAGTCTGGGATGTAGTATTGGTTTCCTCTCAGAGAGCAGAATGGCGAAGACGGGCCTCGCCTCTGTTCACAAACCGTAAAGTCAGACTTAACGGAATATTGCACTTCTGGTTTTGACTTTCAAAGTAAAACCATTCTTATAATTCATGAAAATGTCTTTCAACTGAGTACAGCTTTATATTTTTTGAAAAAATAAACAACGAACTAAATTAAAATAAAATACCAACACATGACACATTATAAGTATTATACTATAAGTTTCATTAAGACGTGTTTTAAATCAGTGATTACAAACTACTCCATACAGCATGTTTACAATAAAAACAAATAATAAATAAGTATGACGAATATAAAATATGAAAATAATGTTTTGAATAAATAAAAAATGTGGTTGGATAATGACACAATAATGCTGGTTTTGTTTTCATATCTGTTAAGCTATCTGTGACATGAGCACATGTTCACAAAATCAGCTTAATCTGATTGCTCTATTTTTTTATGTTAAAATAGTTTTTGCTTAATTGTTTTTAATGTTTGGTCCTTTTCTTACAATGTATCTTCTTTGACAGTGTTTATATGCACCACATACGCCAAGGCAAATTCCTCGTATGCGTAAACCTACTTGGCAATAAACATGTTTCTGATTCTGAGGTTTATACAAAAGCCAATTTTGCTACTCTCTTTTTAACTATATGAAAGCTTCTACAAATAGGCTTGTCACAGTAGGACATAGGCAAGTCCCTGATAATGTTTTTAGGATGTGATAATGTCTAAGGACTAAAATCGCGGGGGGAAATAATAGATATTCAGGGAGCAGCAGGTTCACACTCTACTATGGACTTGTAGCCTGTCCTGTAACCCAAGGAGACAAACACACACTCATCAATTGCAAACATCCGTGCTTTTATTTTTGAAGGACACCGCACTTGTTGACTGTTTTTCTGTGGCAGCTTGTCATTCAGTCTGCGAGCGAGCTTCCACAGCTGGAGAAATACTAATTCAGTTTTCAGCCAGAAAACGACAACACCCGCCCGCACAACGTATGGAACGTGTACATATTAAATGTTATCGGTGCAGGTTGCTGCCTTAGCCTACCACGTAGTGTTCTTTATTTACAAATGATACATCGGGTTAGAATGTATGGAAAGTCTGACTTTTCATTTTCTGACCACCGGAAACTATAAAACTTCAACATGGCGAGTGGGTGTAGTGAAAAGAGCATTTATAGGCTATTAGACCACTACTCTGCAAGTATCTGCAAAGTAAGAGGATATAAATGAAACAATATAATAAATAGGATTAAACCTTTGAGGTTATTAGTGCTGCTCCACTGTAGGGTAGGAGCAGATAATATCATGTTTACCTTTACTCCCAGTGGCGTACAGTAGCTTTTAATTGTTGATTCCTCCCCTCACTGCGTCATGACACTAAAACCACATTTATTTCCTTAAAAGGAAAGCCCCTACTCCCCCTTGCCTCCTTCAATAAGGAAGAAGACTTCCTAAGCGAAGAGAAGGGGGAAATCTCCCTGTCCAGCCATACAATCAAGGTTTTTCCAAATCTGAAATCAGGATGTCAACAATATAAGCAGTTTGGTGTTCTTTTATGTTGATGTTTTCATCCTGATTCACTATCTGGTTAAATATCTGTTAAATGAATGCTTAAGGTGCTTGGCAACAGTATAATTCTGAAATAAAGGTGTGACTGTGATTTTTGAAAAACAAACCAACAAACAAATACAAATCTGGCAGCTGACCAGTAGATTCAAAGTTGCAAAATGCTTTAAAATAAAAGTAATCGGAAATATTTTCTTCGCCATTAACTTTATTTTAGTTTACAGTCAGAAATAACAGGAAAAATAAACAAGACCTGTCTCTGAAATAAGTTGTACAGTGAAGTAGTTAGCATACTGTTACTGCTTACAGATTAAATGTTATAGTTACGGTAATCTCTCATAGCTTCTGTTGACATTAACCATCATAAATATAAAAGCCTTTGATAAAAATACATTCACTTATGCTGATGCAATCACAGAAAAAGCTGCCACTGGAATGAAAAAAGAAACCGGGAAATTAACTTCATTTTGTTTGTGCATGAGCAAAGTGGAATGAATGTAAAGTAAGAGGGGGTGGATGTGCTTTCTATGCAGAATTGTCTCTTCCCCCACCTTCACAGGGAGGTCAGAGGTCATGGTCAGACACTCTGATAGGTAGTCTTTCTCAAGGGCACTTTAGCAGGGAGGACGTGCCTAATGTCCCGTCCTTCAACAAGACAGTCGAGCAGATGAAGTTGCAACAAATCTTTCCTGTTCAGTGATTAAACAACAGCGCAACATCCGACAAAACAAAAAGTATTCCCAAAATAGACATAGAAACCATTGAAATCATAATTTGGCATTAAATAATAACATCAGCCACAACAAGCAGTAACGACAAATTACACAGTAACCAGAACAAAAATCCCAAACATCACTACAGGATATGATGAATAAAAACTCAAGGAATGAAAATAAGAACCGCTCCAAATCTCAGAATGAGGCATTAGTTAACAAATGCAAAAACAGTGAAAAAAAAGGAATAAATATGCGGTCAAACTGTAGACACATGCACACCTTCATACTTTAAGTGAAATTATGATAAACATTTATGGTATAGCATGTTTTAACCCATAAATTCAACAAAAACACTTACTGCTTGTTGTTTTTTAAAGAATGTAAGCTTTGTTGATGTCTTTTTCTACCATCCAGGCCACAATTAATAAAAAAAGAGCGAGTTTCATGTGAATTTACATACTTCAAAAATGAAAAACATGGCTGCTTTCTCAGGTAGCAAAATGCCATTAAAGTTTCTTTAAAAGAAATGTGAAGCGTGTTTGATATGAACCAAAAGAGCAAGCATAGTCCATTAAGTGCACTGCTACACAAAGCATGCCCAATATAAGTCTAAAAGTGATGTTCAAGTTGTATCATGCCATACCCCACTCAGTTTTCCCTTCAATTAATTATTCTCCCATAATATGTGCACATTGTCTAGGGGTAAACAATGTGCTAATGATGTCTCAATGCACTGTGAGCTCTACTTCGAGGAACCTTTAAGTCCAGTAAATATCGTATACATATATTTTTCAATAGTTAGAGTAAGGAAGACAGAAATAGTTCACAGTTCACTTGATTTGCAAGAGATTAAGAGATTGATGTATCTACTCAATGGCAAATTAAAATCAATATTTATGTAAAAGGTTTGGTTGAATCTTTTACACTCAGTTCCTCATCCTTTTTCTGATACATTTCTTGGTCCCTTCTATCGTACACTCATATTTTGTAAAATCCCCTAACCAACCATTTTGTGACTTGAATAAACAGCATCACATCTTAACACACATTTTCACAGAAAAAGGCGCAATAACAATCTTAATATGCTCCTATTGTTTACTTTTTTGAGTTGGTTGATCATCAATTCTATCTGATCCCAGACCAGCTGTGTAGATAGGAGCTCCATCCTGAGCCTCGAGACCCAGACCCCTCTTCCTCACCTGCACAAAGGACAGCAAAGAACGACCGGTCAGATTTTAGGGAGAAATAATTGATAGTAAAATCATGATTAAGATACATTATTTGAAATTTCAGTTGGTGTTCACCTTGTCTCTTGGTACATACCTTGTGCAATGGCAGACAGTTTGCTTTTCTCCTCTGGACTGAGCTGCAGCATAGTGTGGATGACAGGGAGCAGCGCCTGCCTCTCGCTGCCAGACTGCAGGAAGATGAACTGCAGCAGGACGTTCTTCAGATACTCCAGGTTGGCCACACTCTTCTCTCTCTCGTGGTTTCGCTCAAGACGACGCACTTCACTCTTCAACAACTAATAGGTAGAACACATCAGCATTGTTAATTAATAATACTATTTTCTTTCAACCACTGTATGCCCAAATAAGATATTTAGTTTTTTTTTATTAGATATTTATTGATAAAAATGTCTTCCATCTGCCGCTTGTAGACCATGGATAAGAACGTTGTAGACTCAAATGGTACACTTCAACTGTTGTAAACCGGTTGTGTATTTGTCTCAATAAAGTTGGTTTAAAAAAACTACGTCACGCATAACAAATATGGCGGCGCCCTCTGAGCTGCGGCTGTCAAGAGTGTTGGGAGAGAAGCGTTAAACGTTACAACAACTAAATTGATATTATCAGATACTTTAGTTTTAACAGGTGTTGGAGGAATACATTTGTTTAACGTCGTGAAAAATGGGATTAGAGCGGCTGCTTAGCGGGGCACTGCAGTGTTACTCCAAACAGTTTCGTCTCGTTAATATTCAGCAAAAAGTATTTCAAAATGCGCCGATGTCCACACAGACTACATCGAGCAAGGCCACCATGGTTAACCGGGTTACATGTGCAGCTGGTCTGTGGAGGATTATCGTCCCCACAAGCCTCCGCGGTGCCTCCGCTCACACACAGCCGGTTGTCCGCCTCTCTTCGTCCGCCCAGCCCTTAAGAGATGTCACCTTGTTCCAGCACGACAGGACCCGCTTCTTCCGGCTCCTCTCGACCTTCTGCGGCGCCCAGTTACTTTTCTGGACGTACATGGGCTACTTCGCTTTCACCGGGCTCAGAGACACAGGGGGTAAGGGCAAAGTCAAGCAGCCCAGCACCACAGGACTGGCCGGAATGTGGAGCTTCGAGATGAACCTGGGCTCCAAAACCTGGAGGTACGGCTTCACGGTGGGCTGCGTGGCAATAGGAGCATGGATTGTCGGGCTCGGGGCGCTGTTCTGCAGGCGCTCCGTCAGCAAAGTGGTGTTGCACCAAGGGGGGAAGATGGTGACCGTCTGCACACAGTCCCCTCTGGGACCAGGCCAAGGCCAAACAATAACAGTCCCACTGTCCCAGGTAGCCTGCTATGCTCACAGACAGGAGTCCCCCTCATTCATCCCGCTCAGGGTCAAAGGACACAAGTTCTACTTCCTTTTGGACAATGAGGGGACCATAACCAATGCTAGGCTGTTTGATGTCACTGTTGGGGCCTACCGGTCAATTTAAGCAAAGCAAAACTTTGTTGGACACCTAACGCCACGGATGTGATTTAACATAGCTGCCAAACAAATGTCAGTTTCTGTTTGATTGTCTTTTGTCAATTAAATCATATCTATGAGATAAAATGTGTTATTTGGATATTGAGGATAATTTAAAGAAGGATGTTAAATTTGAGATATAATTGAAAGTTTTTTTCTATTTGGAATCATTTACGATGAGCGGTGTTGCGATATACTGGTATTGACGATGACTGAGATATTCATAAAAATGAAATTGATATCAAAATAATAATACAAATGATAATATTATGCAAATAATCCAGCGTCTCATAAACCATTTGTTTGTCTTCGGTTTCTTTTTCTCCCCTTCCCTACCCACGCTATGGTTAGAGACTCGTTCTCCTCCTCCTCCTTACAATCCTATTTTGAGTGTAATTTATTTGCCAAAAACAAGAAAGCTGAATTTTACAAGCCTTATTATTTATTATTATTTTTAAAATCCAAATAGATATCCCAGTTATATCATTATTGTGAATTATTTTGGCCAGGAGAATAGAGAACAGAAAATCTGATAGTGACAGCCCTACTAAGAATAAACAACTACTTATTTGAAATCTAAATATATAACTAACAACAAACAATTTGAATTAGCTTGAAATCAAACTGACAATCGTTTCTTGTGTTTTCTTAATGTGTGAACTTGTGTGTGTATACGTACGGTGATCTGCTCCATGAGAACAGCATTGGTGGCCTCCGTTTCATGCAGGAGGCCGTTCATATGCTCCATACTCCGCGTGGCCGTGCTCAGCTTCTGACTGAGCTCTTCTTTGGTCGGCTCCACGGTCCACACGAATGGCTCTAAAGGGAAGACCAAAAAACCCACTTGTTAAAGCTCACTGTTTGAAAAAGCATTGCTTATTTTGTGTGTTATAGTTTCTGAATCTCCAAAGTAACTCAAGTTATAAAATACTTGTAGGTGTAAAAAGTACAATATTTGCTTCTGGATTTTACTGGAGAAGAATTGTAAAGTAGCAGGGAATATAAATACTCAATTATACTAAACGTAGTTCAAACTGTAATAAACACTTTGCTTTTATCATCTGATAAGTGTTAAAAGGAGCACTTCCTGTTTCAAACACACCTTGTTTGGGGTTGGGGGAGGTGAGAAGCTGCTCCAGAGAGGGCAGGGGCGTACGGGCAGGAGAAGAGTTCTCGGTCTCGGTGGTCTCCATTCCCTCGCCCTCCTCCCTGGCCATAGACTGCAGGTCGCTGAGGGTCATCAGTCCCAGTCCCGCCTGGTTGGGATCTGTGTTTCTACGGGAGTCCGACATCAGGGACTTACGGCTGGACTGCACAACCACTGAATCTGAAAGAGTTTTAGGGTTGGTAGAAGAACACATTTTGTTATTTATTGTTTTTCAAATGAATAGAAACATACTATACTAAACAGCGAAAATGTGCTTAAACAACAGAAATGTACAACCTACTCCTAACACACACAATTGATACTATATACATTATACAAGTGTTCAAGGTAGTGGCAGTATTAACTGTAAATAAATAAGGGCTTTAAATATACCAAGACATGTTTAGAGTAAAGGCTAGAGTATATATTTGTTGGATGTTTAAAGCAATATTATCGGTCCATCCACACACTGAGCAGAATCCCTATTCATTTGCAGTTACTCAAAATTATAAATCAGTGTCCTACTTCTTTGTGACATGAGGGGGCACCAGACACACTCTGCTGTTAAACAGTTCAGCTGGCATGAACAATGACAACAAGTGTGAATAGAAGGCAAGAGGGAAGGGTGAGGTGCTTTGAAAGAGTGGGCGGACAAAAGAGAAGATTATGATTAATGCGCCTGACACTGAACTAAAAGAGCAGACCGACACTAAACCAATCTCCTCACCTTCCCACCTCCAGGCGGCTGCCTCTGCACATGCGGCTGAGTGAGAAGAGCAAGACGCTGGTGCATTTATCAGATTAAATGCATCTGAGTTTAGACCAGATTTTGATGTGTGGTCTGGATTCAGAGAAACGTACAATCAGGTTGATGGTTTCCCGGGCTTGAGGCCAGTACAAAGCTGAGGTGGAACAGTAAACTTGAGAGCTCACATTGCCAAGAGCAGAAACAGTAACACAAATATCTTGAGTCTATAATGCTGCGTCTGCATTATTTTGCTTTTTGTTTTACTGTACTTTCCCTGACCCTTGACAAAACACTCTGGAGGACAGATTCAAGAGAATGAAGTTGCATCTGGTTAAAGAAAGATATGGAATGGGGGTTGGGGGCACCAATTCCTACTGGAATAAAATTCCTGGACCACTCTTTAAAAAAAAGCAGCTGCTTTTACCCAATTCTAAATTGTAAAAAAGCCTGTTTCTGTAATTAATGTGTTTATGTTCTGTTTAGATTAGAAAGCAAATGGGACGAGACATTATATTGAACATCGATCAATTTCACAGTTTGGTCACAGTTGATTCATAAAATAAAATATGAGGCCAGTAAAAATTGTCCAGGGGCCAGCAGTTTTACAACCCACCTGTCCACTACGGCCAGGGACACACACTGATGTTGGAACACCCTTCTGCTTTTTAACTACCATTAAATCCAAATATATGACTTTCAGTAAATGCTAAGATTGGCCTCGTATATGGAGTTAATCCTGGTCTGCATGTGTGAGCCGCTAATGATGAGTCTCTCCAGATGCCACAGTGAGCCGTGTGCCACACTGAGAGGCGGGGACGGAGCTGAGGAGCCTCGCCAACACCTGGCCAGGCTGAGTGACAGAAGAAGAAACACACACACACACACACACACACCCACACACACGCACGCACACACAGACGCGTTTTCCTTTCCGAGTCATCACAGTGTGTTTTTGCTGTTTGACTCCAGGGGGCAGCTGTGTGGGAGGTGATGAATGAGCATCCAGGGCCCCTCAACTGATAAACACACCAACATGCCCCTTCCTGTATTCTCTCTTTTATAATTTCTCTTATAGAGTAGCAGAGAAAACGAGACAGAAAACCTAGACAATCTTTATACGATTCAATTCATGTTAGTCCACTGCCACTTTTTAAATAGAATCAGGTAGTTATTGCCTGATTATTTTAAACTGATCGTGTTTTGAACTTGCCGTCATACTTACTGTTCTGGCTCTGCAGGTTGTAGAGCTGCTCCTCGACGCGGGTCAGCTGGCCCTGCAGGGTCTCCACGGTGGCTCGGTGGTCGTCCTGCAGCTTCCTCAGCTGCTCCCTGTAGGTCTGCCTCTGGGCCTCCACCTGTGAGGACAGGTCAGCCTGAGCCTGGGTCAGGTCTGTCCTCAGAGCCATGTTCTCCGCCTGCAACGCCAGCAGCCTGGAGGGGGAGACAGAGAAAGAGGTGATTAAAAGTATGATTTAAAGACTTTTCATTCAGTAGGAAATGTACAGTAGCCCTGAGAGGCAGGTGCTATTTTCTAAGTCTGGTCTAAAATGGTTTTGCCTCCTGTGTTTATGACTTGTATGTGATAACCTTAACATAAACTGATTTAGGTTATTATCATAGAAAAACAATTTAGATCAGATATAGACATTTATTTTGCCTGCTTGCCTCTAAGGGCTTTCATAAGAATCAGTAGGAATGTCATAACAAAAAAAACTATTGCGACCAATACTCTGTGTATCCTTTATTGTTCTCCTGTGTCTTCATTATTTTACTCAATGTTAATTTGCTGTATTCCTGCTATTTGTGACTTTGTGATGTGAGTTATTAATTTGATTATTTTTGTTTTATTTATTATTTTATTTAATTGTATTGTTATTATTATATATTTTTGTCATTGTTTCCTATTTACTGTGACCCTGACCTAATGGGGTAGGGGTAGGGGTCAGGGATGGGTGTTCCTTTAACTGACAAATTGTTCTGTACTTTGTTTAATGTGCTGAAAGTGCCATGTCTGTAAAAAAAGAAATACAAATATTTTGAAAAAAAGCACAAACTCTTGCTGTCAGAATGCTTATAGGGAGTGTGAGAGAAGTTACAATCAATCAAGATGGTACTTTGGCAAAATCAAGACAAGCAAGGATAAATGAACAACTAGAGACGAATCAAATTTGACCAATCCAGCTCACCTCTCGCGGAGCTCGGCCTCCTTGCTGACGGTCTCCTGGAAGATCCTGTTGTGTCTCTCCAGCAGAGTGTCGTGCTCACTCTGGAGCTGCTGCAGCTCTGCCGTGCTGCTCTGAAGGCTCTGCTGAGTCTCTGCCAGCCTGGACCTCAGCTGTTCCACCTCAGAGGACAACTGCGTCCTGCCAGACACATAACCACATATTCAGTATATTCATATCACTCTTTGTGTGTGTTAACGGACACATTCTGCTACATGATGCTTGGTCTAATAAGGTCATTTGAGTAGCTGCCTGTAACAGAAAAAGATTATACTCACTTAGTTACTTTAATAATATAATTGTGTGGATAACATGTAGATATTCTTTGTATAGTTTTAATATTTTTGATGGTGTAGCTATTAACGCATTAGCATTCAGGTTATTTCCTGTGTGCGTCTTTCTATGGAATTGTTTTGATTGACAGCATGCAAATCACCACCCATATTTCTGGTTTCCCCCCTGCATCTTCCTTTGTCATGGAAATTGGTCACACAGGTGTTGTCCTTACCTGTCAGAGTCTCCTTCACCCTGGGCCGTGGTTTTACTCTTCTGCTGTTTGAGCACATTGTGGACTCGCACCTTGTAACCCTCAAACTCATTTGTCGTTGACATCAGCTCAGCCTGGAATCAGCACCAAGATGAACAAGACATTTAAAGTGAATAACACAGCATACATTTGAAATATTGTGACAGATGAACCAATTTGTAGTTGCCCTTCTGTTTGACAATTGAAGAGAAATACTGGAGTTCTTTATTTTACTTAATTTTACCTAGGGACTTTTATTCTTAGGATATCATTTTCACTGCTTTAGAAAAAACAACTGCAACTTGACTTTGGCCAACCGTTTAAAGACCTGTAGCTATCTTAATTAGTTCACCAATTATGTTCAAAAAGTGCATCAGATAATAGGATGATGAATCATAACCCTTTACACAACTACTTTATTTCAGTGCAATGGTGCACTCACTGTACTGCAGAGTGTCTCCCTGGGATAACACCATTAGGAAACTATTTCAGAAATGTTCATTCAATTCTACATTTTAATATGAAAATATTGTATCTACCTCATGCTTGAGCAGATGCATATGATATAAAAATGTGGGTCTCTAAAAAGATGGAAGACTGTTACGTACCGATACAAAATCCATGGAAATATGTGACACACAAACAATATGACCAGTTTGCTCGCTGGTTTTTGGTTTGTTAAACATTTGCACTTTAACAGAGAGTTCATGTTAGGGTATTTTAAAGAATGATCTTAAACTTCTTGCTTTTTAGTCAAAAAGGTCCAGTCACATCACGCTTGTTGCTAAAACAAGTAACTACTGAATGGATCAGTCCTTTGATAATCGACAACAAACAAAGTTTCATAATTGACTGTTTTATTCATGCTCTAAGCAAAAGTACAAAAACATTACAGCTACCAGCTTCTTATACAGGCGTTCTTTAACTGATGGTCATAGCACACAAGCAATAACAAAGGTGTCACATTGAGCATACGACTAAAACGATTCATCAGAAATAACTGAGAGATTATTAAAGGAAATAGTAATGAGTCATAGCTCTATATTACATCGCTCTCCAGGAACTTTGCATACATTAAGGATGGACATGGTGTGTGTGTGTGTGTGTGTGTGTGTGTGTGTGTGTGTGTGTGTGTGTGTGTGTGTGTGTGTGTGTGTGTGTGTGTGTGTGTGTGTACCTTAACAATGTCCCTCTCCTGCTGCAGGCTGTTGATGCGTTGCTGCAGGGAGCTGCTGCTTCT